ATAAACTTCTACCTTTTTTAAGCCATTTTTTGGAGGGTGTTGAAATGTCTCTGTATTACAGCTACTTAACCTGTACTCTGATTCATTCCCTACCATTCAGAGCTGTGCCTCATAACACAGAATATGGCTACAGAAATCAGCAAAGCATCCTCCAGGCGAGGGCATCACACAGCTCTTGAAAGAATCTGGAATGGAATAGGATGGCGTGTCTTTTGTTAATTTGTTTCCTCCCTATTATGTAAAGAAAAGAAATTTAAAAAAAAAAAAAACAACTTGAGTTTTGAAGCTTCTTCTAACAGTTATTTTACTACTTTGTCAGCAGTGAAGACATGCAGTATTTAAAGAGTTTTAAAATAAGATGGACCCCAAATTACTCCTTAATACAGCTGTGCCTATCTTCACTGGTCCAGAAGCCAGGAATCTTACATGCTCCATTTTCACTACTTCCTTACTAGGTATGAGGGAAAATGTTTAGACATCTTTAATCTTCCCAGAAACAAAAACTAGGATTGCAGTTTCCTTTATATTTTTTTACAGAGCCACAGTAGAGGACAATGTATACTTAATACTCAGACCCGGCTTGGTGACTGAGACACACTGGCTAAGTCTAGTATTTTGTTGCTGTTGCTTATTATCTGTAGTTCGCTATATTCGTAGATTCATTTCCTTACCCTAGTAAACTCATTAATTTTTATCTGTACCTTATGTGTTTTTATGAGCCACCTCAAACCCTTTTTTGGAGCAAGAAGAGGTATAAATAAATTCGTGTAGTACTTGATAGTTCACAGAACATTTATGCATTTCATTTGAGCATGACAACAGTCTTGCGAGGGGAGAATTTATTCCCCTGTGATAGAGGACACTGAGGTATCTTATCTGAGGTCACACTGAGAGTGAGTGACAGAAGGAGGTATCAAAACTTGTTGCTGGTTGTCTCTGTGAAGGGACCAGTGTAGAACCTATATGTTCTAGATGTTTACAAATTTTAGTTTAAATTGGCTATGTTTCAAAGAAAAAAAAAACTGTTAGGAAGTATTTTGAAATATTAACATCTATTTCTGTGATTGTGAGTAATGCAAAGTGTGACTTTTCAGGAAATGTCAGAAATTTCAAAAGGTTTAAAACAAATCTCTATTCATATGCTAATGGTTAAAATGTACTACATCAATTGTTTTCAGAAAACAAAGAGTGACTGGTGGCTTGGTCTTGGCAAAATATGAAAAATATAAATTGGTGAAATATTTTAATGGGTGTTTACCTGCAATTTGTCTCAAATCCAGGTATAATCTAGATTCATTATCTTGCCCCTTCTGTCTGGGAACTGTGAGTGCTGAGCACAGGTCTGGCAGGCTGGGAGAAAAAGAATTAGGAAGGGGACTGTGGAGCCAGGAAATCCAATCTTATGGGTCTATAGGATCTGTTTAGATGGTGACTCAGGAGGAACAAAATATAGACAGTGTCTTAGCCCAACAAAAAGAAAGAGGTATGCAGAGGAGGGAGAATCTCAAAGTCTGGCTGGGCTTGGTACTCTCTGGAGCCACAGAGCAAAGCACTTCTGCTGCTACTGCTTTGTTGTGACCCAGGACTTCCTATGGGCCTAAGGGTGCCTTTTGGCAGGAGCTCCCCTGATCTGCCAAAGTATTTTCCCATCCTCACATTTCCCTCACCTTGCGTCACTAGAGAAAAGAGACCCATTAATCCATAGGGATCACTGCAAATCACCTCGGCCCGCAGGAAACTGGAAGTTGTCACTCCTTTCCCTTTGCCTACATAAAAATCATCATTTTAGACAAGGCATTAATAGAGAAGACAGGCAGCCAGTCAGCCAGATATGCAAGGCATCTCCTGCATCAGCAGTACGATCCCTTCCTCCCAGAATCTGGGAAAAGAAAATCAGGTGGAAAAATTTCAGCTCAAGATTCTAAATACATTTTGGGCCCATGCCTCAGGTCTAAAATGAGAAAGATGGATACCTTGATTTGGTTTACAAAGTTGAAAATAGTAAGATTTTTTTTTTCTAGTCTGATTTTCATTTAAACCATTATGCAATGAAACCTCAAGGTCTAGAAGTTTATATACCCCCAACAGCTTTGTAGCTTTAGTCTAAAGGAGGTCACCATGCTATGCAGAGAGTATTCTACAGCATGTTTTTTCAGAAGACAGATCTAGGGTACAGCAGCATCTGAACATTTACCTGTCAAGTGTGTAAGTGCTTTGGAAGCCTCAAAGGAACAGTCCCTGACACACCTGGCAAGCCTGGAACCTGATCTCCCCTTCTTCCTCCTATTTCACATTGCACTGACATGGTGCACAGGGGGAGGCTCAGGAAGGAAGAAAACAAAACCCACTGCTTGAGAATTTAGACGGCAAAGTAACCTCGTTCAAGTCATAATCAACAAAAGCTGGCAAAATCACACACAGATTCACATATTTCCAAGAGCCATCCTTCGGTTTTTTCAAAGGACGTGAGTATGCAACTAGCCTTTGAAATGTAGCATTTGGTTAGATGCATTTAATCACGTCACCCAAAATCGCTGTGCTCAAAAGTTACACACAAATGGATACTTGACTTTCCTTCAAAGCCATTCAGCCTGAAAGATTTCCAAGCACGTCACACGTCACATTTAGCTACCTTTGCTAGGAAGGGCTTTCAGCCAACTGGCTCACACTCATAGCCGAGGGAAGCAGAGGAAGAGAAATTTTTAGCAAATAGGTAAGCGTCTGAAATAAATTGTATTATGCTAGTTCTGAACAAACTATACACTAGTTTTCTCATTTAGACTATCAGAGCAGTATAATCTTTCAACTAGATGCATCTTAAAATGTATCAGTTCTACTGTGAAGCACATCACCATTTCTACATGTCAGAATCCAGTTCATTATCTAACACCTAGCCCATCTCCTACTCCCCTCCCCTGGCCATGACTTCTGCTTTATCTCTGCCTTTCTTGCAGATGTGACTTGGAGTGCCCACTATGAGGGTCACCTGTGCGCTTGTCTTATTCGTATTACTGGATTATAAGGAAAGGTGGAGTGTGGCAGGTGTTCTGTTCACATACCTCTCAGAAAAACTTGCTTCAAATAGATTCTAAATATTTGTTGATTCCAGTTGATTTCTTAAACAGCCTAATAACCATTTGACATCATCTGTATGAGGTCCCAACCAAAAGCACACACACGCATTTTTTAATGGTGAATTTTCTTTAAGTTTCAGTTAACCTTCAGATCATACATATCCTCGTCGTTTTTTCTTTGCTCATTAGCAGTAACTACAAGATCTTAAAGACACTTTAAATTAAAACAGACGTATAATTTTATGTCTCTTTCTCTCATGCTTTTTCACAAGAACGTTGATAGAATTAACACGCTGGAGACATTCATAACCTCAGACTTAAGAGTCATGCACGTCTTTTAGTTTCCTGAGCCTTTCATGTTTTCATTTCTGCCTGAAATCCTTCGTGGAAGAAACTAGAGTGTCAAGGAATGAATGAATTGTTTAAAACAGAGAAACAAATATGTCTTCATTAGAGCTTTTTTGTCATTCAAGAAATAGACATTTAACTACTTAACATGTGACAGACTGGGTGCTAAGGATACAAATGAATAATATACTTTATGAATATTCCTATTTGGATGCTTAAGATGTTCCTGACCTTTCCAACATCTTTGTTGATCGTATATCTGTATAATAGTGTCTTTCATCCTAAATATATTTTCATTAAAAATAAGTACATACAGGCAAACTGAAATCAAGAAAGAATATTTTCATAAATTATTTTTAAAGGTTTAAAATATTTTGATCCTCTGCGCACAGCTTGTGTTTACATGACAAATAAGCCTTTTATCAGGAAGAAACTAGCCAGAACATATGCTGCGGATCACAATATTTAGACCAAAAAAAAAATGATTCTACCCTTTCTCATCTCAATTTTTTTCATTTTGAAGGGAATTTTCCAAATGAAGAGTTTCAGATAGGTTGTCTCCAGGTCAGTTCACCTCTGCAAGGCTTTGGTTAGTCATCAGTGGACAGCCTCATCCTGCGTACTTACCTGTAGCTTCCCACACCCACTTTGTGCTTTACACAATAGATATGTTCCTTTGAGTTTGGATTTTTATGAAACAAATCATGTGGGCCGGGAGCACTAATAGTTAAAGGAATTTGATAGCTATCCTTTTGAAAACCTAAAAAGTTCTTTTGCAATATGAATATTTCTCCCTGATTACAATAACTGTTCTGTAATTATGGTCAGTTACTGCTTAAATCAGCCTGCATCTGCTTAAATCAACTTGTATTTGCAGAAAAACAATTAGGATGGAGAGATGTTCAAAAAGCTACACTATACTTTTGAAAAACATGACCCAACGTCATAACGTAGAAACAAACCTACCAAGACCTGTAATAGCTGACTTATCTAAGTATATAAAAAATATTGACCTTTTTATTGGTATAATTTGTTTTCTTATGTCTATATTTTTTATGAAAATTGCAAATTTCTAGAGAAAGTATAACCTTGCAATCAAATCATCTTCAAGTTAACTTAATAGACAAAGGAAAACAGGCATTGGCGGGAATCTATAATTGCCGAAAAGCAATATTCGATTGAAAAATAGCAGTTTGTAGCCCTGGCAAAAACAAAGCCAAAAAAACAACTCTGCCATTATGATGTAATTTTTTTTCAATTATGCATTTATTTATGCCTTTATATTTTTTTATTTCTACCTAAATAAGAAAAATCTTGATCCATTTAGGTTTAGACTCTGGAAATGTTCCACTAAGATTCCTGGTTCAGTTTACATAATGGCTATAATTTGTGAAATCTAGTACCACTGGGATGTGATTATATTGGGCTTCAGTCTGAAGAATTGTTTTAGTAGGAATTTTATATGCAAGACTAAATGCTGATCAACAGAGCATAATATTGTATCCTGAAGTGTGCTCAGAAAGCAAAATTAATTTTTTTTTCTTGTTTCTTTCCTTCTCCTGGAATCTTCTGCCATAGCGACTGCATTTGCCTCCAGACTTGTCAGACACAGCAAGCCGCTCAAGCAGACAGGATCTGGCAGAATCGGCCAAGCTGCTGGGCCCAGGCTGTGGCGTGATGGCCGGAGGCAAGAAGCACCTGGACTTCTAGCAATTCCTCCTTAGTTGCTGCCTGCAGAATTATATGACACTCTAATTATGATTGCTAATGGGCTTATGTAAATATTTTTCTTAATGATTTGACCCTCCAATTCTTTAAAAACACAGGATTGCAAAATGAGGCCACCATTCGTCATTTTTAAACCGTCTTTTTTATACAGAAATAGTACAGCAGAAATACTTTCATTTAAAAATTTTGTTTTATGCTATGTCTAAAGAAAATAGGTAATTTTATTTTTGAATAAGAGCAAATAAAATGTCAGAAATTCAAGCTGCCTTACAGTGGTCATTAGTGTATGTGTGCTAAGGCACTTAGCTCATGGTAAAATACATGGCATAGCGGGTAGCATATAAAGCATTATGAAATTCAAAATTATATGTGAAAAACATATTTTCTCTTTATTTTTGAAAAAATCGCTTGCCACCAAAAAGGCTAAGGTTTTCAAAAGAATGAAAAATTTGTTAATATACGAAGACTATAATGAAATGAATTTGCATTTATGCATCCTGTTATTAAATTGATGAAGACAAAATAATATTTTGGGATTCAGACTCCATTAAAGATAATTAGTCTACTGTAGAAGTTAATAAATATAAAGAACTCGAATGATAGAAAGCATACAAAAAGTTTATGGTCTTCTGTTTAGAAATCCTAAACAATTGAAGTCATCACTATGAAATTATGTCAACACACATAATTTAGGATTGAAATTCAAACTGACAGCTATGTTAATGCTAAGATACTAGGGGGGAAAAAAACATGTTTTGAGAGATTTTTACAGAACGTAGGTCTGAGACAAAGTAAGAAACTGAAGCTAACCCAGATTTTCACTGCACCAGGTAAACCCTTTGTTAATTGTGAACATTGGATGGGTATGTACATTTATAACCATAGAAACATGTCTTTTGCGGTATATAGCATACTGAGCTAGTTTTCATATAAAACACTAGTTTTTTTGAATCATAGTTCCATCTTCTCAAAGATTTTGACAAATAGTAGACAAAAAACAATTTCAAAAGTAACTTGCATATTTGTTTCAATTTTTTAAAAGCTGTTTAACATTCTTTAGGAGAACCTGAATTTCCAAAACACATTTTTGAAAATGTTAGAATATTTCAAAGCAGTTATAACATTTTAAGCAGTTTGCTTTTAATATACCACAAATTACACTTTATTTGTTCTTGACAACATTGTAGAAAACAAAGACAAGGTTTTTAAACTGTCTAACCAATATGATGAATGTCAGTCACTTAAAAAAAAAAACCCACTGTAGCATAAACACATACTGTATACAGCTTTTATTCAGAATTAGAATAATTGAATCAATGACAGTGATTTGCCAGGATGTCAAATCTCTCCATCATATCCTGTCACTACCAGTTTATTTTTTGTGATCAAAATCAAAAAGACAACTATTTTGTCACCTGCTATTTCATTAGTACTAAAAATCAGGTTTCTTCTTCTATTTTTTTAGAATGTCTGGTTTATTTTTTTCACTTCTTTTAATTCGAAAGACAAATTCTTCCCCATTTTCTTTTCAAAATAAAGTTTCAGAATTGATCTGTCAGTTAAAATTAAAGGGCTTTTATATTAAATACAGGTGCTTTTAAAATTTAAAGCAACTGCAAAAAAAAATCAATTTAGTCCATAGATAATAAATAACGTGCAGGTACTCCACAAAAGCTTTGCTTTTTCTTTTGAAAGCATTATGAATAACCTGAATAAATTCAAATGAATATTTTAGTTGGGTTATTATTTTAATAACTCTAACCTTTTTCTTACCGTGTTGTGACTCATTTCATACAAACACACACGGAACAATTACATAGACTCTGAAAAGGAAATGTGAGGTCATCAGATATGTAAATTGCTTGTCAAAAATACTTAATAGGTCATTGATTTACTACACTGGCCATCATGTCTATAAAATTAACAGCCGATTACTAGTTAATATATGCTTCGCAAACAGATAAATACTATAAAAATTGAACATGCGTATTTGAACCCAACTTATTTTAAACATAAAAGAAACTTTTCCAACTCAATAAAAGTACATTCTGAACAATAATAGTACTTGAGCTTTCCAAAATCAGATGCAAGTGCTTTGTTCTGATTCACTAGGCAGGCTTTATAAAAATAAGCTACTGAAGAGGGATGTATTTTTTTCTTGATAAAAACACTAAAATTTTGTTTTCCTTCCTTCTGGAAACATTATCAGTTAGCCATATGCTAATAACTTAATACATAAAAATATGGGTCTCCAATAATACTGTTGTAGGTATTTAGACCATTTTGATACATTATGAAATATACACTCTAAAAACAGGTTTGTTTTCAATTATCGACTTGTCTCCGAGATATAAATACTAAAGTAACAATGCCAAACATAGTATTTGAAATGGTCTCATATCTTTTAAATGTTGCTAAAACTTTAAAACTCTCTATAGTATTCATTTCTTACACTAGATTTGTCTTTCTTTAACATGATGTAAATATTTTGATTGCTGCAGTCTGCTCAGGTGCTGGGGTCCTAAGACCTGAATTTCTTTTTCAGTAGTTACTGATTTCCACTTTTCTCTTCCTCTCTTTCCATTTATTCTTTATCTCCATCTCTAGGATCTGCAAATACCAACACTAAACAAAATGAACTACTTCAAATGGAAGCCACACTCAGCAATCAATTCCTTGTCTGTCTTTTAATTTTCAAGAATCAGACACAGGCACCCACATACAAAAGAAAAATGGGGGGAGTATTTGTTTGTTTAAGCCCATTATGAATGTCATTTCAAAACATGTTAATGCCTTCCAATGATAGTCACCATTGATACCGTGGAATTTAAGCAATACTAACTCTAAGTACTTATACTTTAAACTTTAAAACTGAGCAGTTAAGTCATTGAGAACTGATGCAAAACAAACAAAGAAAAACAAAAAAAAAGCAAAACAGAAAAACAGGTGAGGTTTATTCTTGAAAAACAAAAAAGGGAATAATTTGTGTTTGGTCTTGGTAAGCCAAACACTATACAAAGAAGAAAAGCCTTTCTCTTTTTTTTTTAATCTTGTTAACATTGAGGCCAAGAGCAAAAAGAGTAAGAATACAGACTCCATCCTGAAATGACAAAAATTCACAAAACAAAGCTAAATCTTAAAATAATACTTCATAAATGAATCTTAGGAGACCTAATTATGATTTTTAAGGAGAAAGATGATCATGTGAGCCATATCAAAAAAAGACAGTAGGTTACTATTTAAGACTTAGGAGGCACAGCTTTGGATGGAAAATATTCTGGAAATTCTTTGGAGTAAAAAGCATTTTTCACTCAGTAATTTGCATGTTTCTTATTCAAACATTCACCTCTAATTCTGTTTACCTGGTCTCCCTAAGTCAGGCAAGTTTGGAGAAAAATCATAAGCTTTCAGTCTTGTGATTTGAATGAAGACGTCACAAATAGACGGTCACCATCCTGGAAGATGATGTCAAAGCATCTCTGCAGAGTTTGCATTGATAAATATATAAATATGTTTATCAGTAAATAAATAAGCAAAAAATTATTTCAACAATGAGGCAAAGGCCACCTCTTGGCTACTGCTTCCACACAGTGCCTGCCACACTGTCCCCAGGAGAGTTCCTGGAGCGCCATTCAGAAGGACAGCTCATCTCCCCAGGGTGAGGGCAGAAGGCAAGGCAGCCGTTCCATCCTGCTGGACCAGAGGGCTTCTGCAGCTGAGCAGCCGCTTCTTCAGACTAAACCAGGCTGTGCCACTGTGTCCTGGAAATCCTGACCCTCAGAGGACACGTATACGTGCCCAAGTGCACACATACTCTCTGTTCCCACAACACTCCCCTTCTCCCGTGCCCAGCTCCTGCACCCAAAGTGCCACATCTGCTTCTCCAAAGTCTATGGTCTCTACACAACAGAGCTGTGGGCCAGAACTGGTGGCCGGACCCTGGCCCAAATCATAGCCAGTTGGAAATTGTCTCTTGCAGGGACGAAGTAAGCCAGCCAGCAGCTGCAACATACACCACACATAGTAGCCCTTCTCCAACAGTTCCCCGGGCTCATGAGTCTCAGGGAAGAGAGGCTGCAAAATGTCAGGAGGTAGAAATATCTGCGTGGGCAACTGTACGAACAGTGCATATGTGTGCACACTCCACTGAAGAAGTGTGCAAGCAAGCATGCAGTGTAGGCTGACATTGAGTCAAACTACATGCACGTATAAAAACTGCAATCAACCCAGGACGGTATCTCTAAATGTGCAGCAACTCTAGTGGAATAAAAGTATTAACATATAGCATGCCAGAGAGATGAATCACAATTATCTGTTCACAAGTAATTCCTTAACTAGAAAATAGTAGATGTTGAGCTAGGTTATTTTTCAAAGCCTCCAATTAATTTCTATACTTCTGATCATTTGCCTTTGGGAATTAAAAACAAATCAAAAAAATAAGAGTGCAATTCAGTGGCTGTGTCTTTGTCCCTAGAGGTTTCTGCCTGTGCAAGCATTTAATCTAGACTGCCAGAATCCCCAGCCTTTGACCGAAGTTTGCAGAAGAAAACTTATCTATATTGACTTATGTGTTGCCCAGAACAGACAGAAATAAAAGTCTCAGACAGGCTTTTTTTCACCCAACAAAGGCTTATTTTTTTTTTTCCATCCTTTGCTTGGGCTCAAGCACTCCTGCCCTGCATGCTGCCACTTTAAACATGATCAGATCTGTGCTTCACTGCAAATAACAACTGACCAACAATGGGCCCTGCTTCATAGATTTGGGAATGTTTGGCTTAAGCTCCCAACGACTGAAGGCCTTTAACTCCCACCGGCCAGTCACAGTCTGCTTTGTTGTTGTCTGTTGATGTGTCTGTGCTCATTATTCCTTGACATGCAACATCCCCCCTCCACCCTCCAACCATCCACAACCGCACAGAAAGCGAGATTCAAATGGGAACAGCTGTAGTGGTTCAATGGGAAATGATGCCTCTTGTGCAAAGGGGAGGGAGACAGAAAAGGGAGAGGGCCTATTTGAGAAAGGCAACAGCTTTCAGAGAGTCTTGTAGAAGAAATCTACTTTTGAATATACTTCAGTGAAATCGCTGTTAAAATAGGCTGACAATGGAAATCTGCCCAGATTGAAAATGCCAGCCCTAATTCAAAAGACAATTCCTAGTTAATAGCTTGTTGCATTTTTAAATTATTTCTAGACTTTGAGCTCTTGATTTAGATGGCTGAGAAGTATTACCATTTTGTATGTATGTTGTGGGTATAAATGGGCACAGATTTACACACAGCTTTAAGTGGAAATTTTTTCTAACTCATTTCTGATTTATGATAGCTATAAGAATTCTTTCTTTAAGGATCATCAGGATTTAAAATAGAGTAAATATGAAAGTAACCATTGGTTTCGAATGTTACTCTAACATGAAAACAAAATTTGTAACACCACACTATAAGGTTAAAAAGAAAATAGTATAATAAAGGAAATACAAAGGCTTTGGCATGGTTTTTACAATCAACAATGGTTAATTTTGATATGTGGTTGTGAACAACTTCAAAACACTTAAGTTTAAAACTCTTGCAAGCACTTTTAATTGATTAGGAATGAATTCTAGATGCACAAAATGATTGGACTGTGAACAGTAATACAACTATATCTAAGAACAATTAACTTTTTGCTGGCCAAAAAAGAAACGTATGATTGCATGAAAATGTGTATAAAACATCTATAGAGTATTCTTGTCAAATATAAATGAAATTAACTTTATTATAGAAATCATTCTGAGGATTTCTAGGGAAGACAAATACTTACATTTTGACATAAAACAAATTGGATTATATCGAAGACACACTCTACCTTTTAGCTATCAACTTTTTTCTTCCTTGAATTTATATCTTACCCTTTTTTGCACATAAACTTCATCTGTTAACAACCTTTGGAAAACCAACAGATATTTCTTACATAAATCTAGTGCATGTTGTTCCAGGTTTAATTATATGCAAAGGAATGATACAAACTTGGAACCTCAGTCCATAAACTATGAACAGATGGGTAGAAGTATTCGATATATCTTGATAAAACTCTTAAATTCGTGACAAAGCTTGTTGATCATGGTTTCCTTTTTTTTAAAAAAAAAA